CTTGTGCCCAATAATGCATAATTTCATTTGATAAACACGTTTAGATTGAATGGTAATTTATAATCAGTCATAAGAACGTCGAATCTGAATCACTTGAAAAAAACACGGGGGTGCTTAACTTTTTTCCAGGTGTATATATCACAGATATTTGCCCTACGAGATGTTTAATTTTCTAATTTACATTCAGGTACAAAGGCCGCCGTCGCAAAAGCAAAGGTAACTGTAATACATTTACAAGAGTATTTTTGGTTGCTTCAGAGTTTTCGCGCATAGCCGCCCATAATTTTGAATTAATAGACGAGAAGGAAGCTAGTCATCAGCACTCACCGTCGACTCTTGGGCTACTCTTATCTAACCAAATAGTGGGGTTTGACAATTATTCTTAGAGCACACCAACAAATCCAATATGTGGAGTGTGTTTAGCGATAACAGGACACGAATCATCAACCCTTGAATTCGATTTCAAAGCCCTAACACGGCTAGGGCTAACACCCAGTATAGCCTGTACACAACAGAGAAAATAATAACATAAAGTTATCATAGTGACCGTTTGTTTTGGACTTGTTTTCTTATCACCTTAAGATTGTAACTAAGGGCGTGGATTTTCTGTACTGTTAACTAACTAGGTACGTGAAGCCGATCGAAGTAAACCTCATTCCAGGTTTTAAATTTTTAAGTACCTATGTCACGTATAATAATAGTTCTCCCTCCACAATATTTTCAGTGTAATCCAAGGGTATAAAAAACGAGTTCATTTCGACCACTTGAAGTTCGGGGACAAAGCGCCCTTGTGAAAGGTGAACTTCGGTGAATAATCTATACGTCAGTTAAGAATGATGTACAGTTTTATAATGTACAATTTTGTTTCTCTGTATTTTTAGTGAAATAACTAGTAGGTTGTAATCCCGTGTTCAAACTAACAGTTTTTTTTTAAATGTTATAAACATCACGTATTCTTCTGGTTGGCTATCTTCCTTCTGGTCAGTAGTTCAAAATTAGGAAAGACTATATCTGTACCCTAGCCGCAGGTGCGCATAAGATACAATTCAGTTTGAAGAGTTCATTATTGTAATTCAGCAATTATTTCAATTATTCCAGTTACTTAAATTCTAATCGAATAGTCGTCGCTCTAATCATGATCTACATTTTGGGTATTTGGGTGCGTTAAAATAACGCACCCAAATACCCAAAATGTAGATCATGATTTTTTTCGGTAACGGGACATGAATCGTGGACTCTCGATTTCACAGTCCAGCACACTGTCCACAAAGCCACGGCCGGCCCAAGTATTCCAGGAAAGAATGTCAGAAGAGCGTAAATTCTTTAGCAAAGAGTGGCAGACAAAAGTAATTTTGACGAAACAAATATGAAAAAAAAAATTTCGTTTAGCTTAAAACAATCAACTTAGTATTTGAGCTGGGACAACTTACCTTGGAAGTAATTTTTTGTTTACTATAACATTTCAATCTTGTGTGAGCAAAATATACAAAATATAACTTTTTAGCCTCTTACAGTAGAGGAAATAAAAAAAGAACCGCTTTAGAATAATTCTTATTGTCGTCTGCTGTAATAACAAAACTTCGCATTGAGCTATCTGTACTCTGTATCGAAACCCGAGTTGTCAAATTTTAACATATTAAATACACAACTTATTATACTTATTACAATAAAAAGGGTTACGTATTTTTAATACTTAAATTCGCTATAATCTTGTTAATTTTTAAACTAGTCGGGCGGCTAGCAAATTAAGAACTTGGCCACGCCCGACTCATCTAATAATTAAGAAAATATTTCAGTGAATTTAAGTATTAAGAATGTTATAACGTCCTCACAGCTTTGATATGCCGCTGAACACGCCGAACACTCTCAACTCTGAGGACTTTATAGTTGTGACAGTCTATTCTAATATTTGGTTTAAAATATCCGCACAGGCGACGTGTTTAATTGACGGGTTGTCCTGTCTGATCAGCAGTTTTAAACTAGGAAAGAATCTTCCTGAACTTTAGGGTTTGTTTGTTTGTAATTAAGCACAAAGCTACACAATGGGCTATCTGTGCTCTGCCCACCACGGGTATCGAAACACGGATTCTATCGTTGTAAGTCCGCAGACATACCACTGTGCCACTGGGGGTGGGGGGCGTACTTTAGGGTAACACTTCTGGCCGTATAGTCCATATGTCGCTTAGGTTGAAAACATCAAATGTTTTATGAAGATAGGTGAAATATACAGGTTCAAAGCACGAGGTCTGTTGAACTTTGAAAACAATCTGTGTACACGGACGTGATTAGCTAACAGACTGAGCGAAGTTTTCGTTTCGTGTGCATATTCATGAAACATACCCCAAAGTGAGACATTACGTAAAAAAAAATCCCTTAAGAATATATTACACGAATAAAAATAATTTGATATTTAAATATACATTAGCAGTTTGTTTGAGTACAGGTAAACAACAACAACAGTCGTTAGAGAGAGAGAGAGAGGGGAAGACGGTAAAGCTTCAAAAATACAGCATTTCTAATTTAACTCAGAGTGATTACTTTCATCAGACTATTCTTAGTTTAGTCCACCGCGATTTTTTTTAAAAATTCTATTTAATTTTATTCTTTAGTACCAGGACAGCTGTTATAGAAAGCTAGAATATTATTGAACGTTCACACCACTGTACTTTCTGTTACACGTAACCATGGATACGTTCTCAACACTGAAAGTTTCATATGTATATATATATATATACAAAACACTCTCGTCAGATGGTGCCCGATTGGTTGTTGAAACTCATGATATCAGCAAAAAATAAATAGAAAGACATATTTTAGTGCATGCAAGTCCTTTATTTAGACTATGGTAATGTTAATACACATATACATTAGTATCATTAGTAAAAGTATGTTATAACGTAATGGAGTTGCTGACCTTCCTCATCTCTTGACCTCCATGTTGGTCTCCACAAAATCCCATTCAGATATTGTTAGATGTTTCGTTTAAAGCCAAGAAAACATCGAAATCAGAAGGTTAGTAAAATCTAGTATTGATGTATAGAAAGTAACGGTAAGTTTTCAAGTTAGTTTCTTATGCTATGCTAGTAAGGTTAAAACTCAACATTTGCAAAATACATTTTATTTTTGAGATCATAAGTTAACTCAACTTTAATATTTTCGTTTTAGCGTATTATAGTCAAAAACCATAAAATATTTAACAAATCGAATCTTAGATTTAGGAAAGCTGAATTCAGCTGTAAGTAATTTTCCAGGCATAAATTTAGTGAGACGAAACTACATGATTTAAAGACGGTTGTACATAAGAAACCCTATTAAAATATTACATTTTGAACGCAACTATACTTGTACAGGACATGCCTGTTTTTATTTTCTACTATAAAAGCATATAAAATGTTTTATTAATTGTTGATTACAAACATAGTTGCAGTTTACAAACAAGTATTATGTATAGTCTGATATGCACAGAAAATATATTCAGTATAACTGAGGCGTTATGCTACTGCTCTGTATGTGTAACTTAATATGCTGTAATTACAAGATCTGGTACTTTTATGCATCCACTAAATATCAATAACCCTGTTGTAAATTTTGGTAAGGTATCTTAGGAACGGCAGTTTCATGCTAAACTATTGTTACGTCTGTGTTCGTTTGTTAATTTCCCGTATAATTTCTTTCGGATGAAACTTTAGCGATACAAGTCCTTTCTTAAATGAAACTTTATATGA